TATATATATATATAATGAAGAGGCAAGCTGCTGCATGCAGAGTGACGGAGTTGAGGTTATTCTGTGAGGAGTTAGAGAGTTTTAGAGACATCTCTTTTCTAAGTCTGATGAACACTGAGAACAACACTTAAACAGCAGTTTCAGCTATCTATGGATGTGCAGAAGGGAGAATGAAGAGATAATGAAAATGAACACTATGGATCTTCTATGCTTCGATTCTCTGCACATTAATGCACATAAAATTAAAGTTTAAATGCAAAAAAGAAATTAAAAATCATTTTAAGTGAAAGAAAATGCAGTTGGGAGAAGCCGACGACCGACGCGGCTAATACTATAACAGGTCCAGGGTTGTATGGGGGCTGTAGATAGATTGTAATCAATTAAAAAGGCAATAATAAGAAAGACTATGGAATAATAAAATAGTTTACTCAAGAATATTTGCGTTTTAATGCATATTTAGAGGAAGAAATGAGCAGTGGTTGTTCGCTCGTACATATTGATCACTCAGGTGTATCGACACCTTCTCGGGCGAGCGTTAGTTTGAGTTTGCATTTGTTGTTGAATTTTTGATATTGAATGACTCTATATAGCGGATAAATTGAATGGAAAGCATAATAATTGCAATTATGTAGCTTTAAAACTCTAAATCTTCTTTATTCTCCTCACTCGCCTGCAAGAACCACCATCAGAGATCAGCTTAGACCCGCTACGGCGGCCTGTACAGCTGAGGGAAACGCGGAGCTATTTGGCTGTGGAGGTTCTTCTTTTCTTGCATGCGAGGGTTTTTATGAAATATTATTTGTTCAGTTTCTGAGAAAACTTCAAATTTACATAAATTATTGCAGCTTTCCGCAGCCATCGACGCGACGCCTTCGGCTGCCTTCGCCTCAACGGCGAGGCAAAGAAGAAGACTGCGTTCTTAAGGGTTTCATTTCTCTCTTTATTTTCTTTTTCTTCATGTCTACTCAGACTCATTTTCTTCTCAACTCTTCTTTTACTGAGCTTCCTTCGACTTGAGCAGCTGCCACTGCGTGTACTGCACGTACACAGTCGCGGTTGCTGAAGCAGAGACATAAGGAGAATAAGGAGGCGTTCTTCTTCATCTTTCTTTTGCTTCTTCTGATTAGAAAAGGGCTCTTTAGAGCCCTTGCCTCGCTGCCAGCACCTCTTGATTTCTATTGGACACTGCAGCAGCTGCCTAGACACCCCAACTCCGCTATTTCTTCTTTCTCTCCATTTGCAAGCAATGGATTTGTGCTCTCTCTGCTGTACAGACGAAGCCGACTTGGGGGTTGCCCCCTACGACCGCATTGCTGCGCACATTGGCCTCTCAGGTATTTATTTCTCTTCAACTCTCGCTCCTCAAACAAACATTTTATTCAACAATTACGTAACAAACACATCTGATTATGCAAATGCATACAACCCCCTATGACAGAAACGCGTGCATACACTACTGCATGCATGCATGCAAGTTCAGGGTTCAACTGCATGCATGTTTACCTTCATGCATGCATGCATGCATGCATGAATGCATGCATGATAGTTGCATGCATGCATAATGGTGGCATGCATAATGGTGGCATGCATGCATAATGTTTGCATGCATGCATAATGTGTGCATGCATGCATAATGGTTGTATGCATGCATAATAGTTGCATGCATGCGCTTGCATTGCTGCATTTGTGTTGCATGCAGATGATGATCTGCTGGACTTCGAGAGCGACAATGCGGAGGCCCCGACTTTGGGAGTTTGTGAGTAAATTGCAGTTTCTTTATTTAGGTTTGTTCATTTGGGCTGTACGTACACCGAATGAACGCCATTTAGCAGCCTATACACCTCAGCATGCATGCATCCATGCATGCATGCATGCTAAGGTGTATAGGAGACGCGCATGCAAGTAGTAGACGGACGCAAGTGTTTGTTGTTGCATTTCTGCTGCAGCAACAACGAGGAGAAAGAGCCGCAAGCCCTCCAAATTTAAAAATAGAGTCAGTTCTGAGGTGTATAAACTCGAGGAGTCTGTGAGACGCTCGCGAGAGCAGCAGCAGCAGCAGCAGCAGCAGCAAAGCCGAAACTCTTTCTCGCGCAGTTTCGGCAGCAGCAGCAGCAGAGGCTCTCGCAGCAGTGGATCTTTTAGACGGTCCTCAATTGACTTAGAAAAACCTGCTGCTTCTGCTGCTCCTGCTGCTGCTCCTGCTGCAGCAAATGCAGCACCAGCAGCAGCAGCAGCACCAGCAGCAGCACCAGCAGCAGCACCAGCAGCAGCAGCAGTGCCCCGAAGCAGCAACTCCTCTCAGGAGCAGCTGCTGCGGCGCGTCTCTTCTGGTCGCATGCGGACTCAGTCGAAAGTAGACAAAGACAGAGAAACAAAGAAAGAAGTAAAAGAAGAAACAAATAAACAAATTAAAACACCACAACACTCAGGCAGCAAAGATCAACTGCTGCAACCATCTGATGAACAAATGCAGCAAAGAAGAATTTCAGGGGCTCGCCGCCTCAGCGATATGACGCCTGCAGAGAAAGTAACTATACACAACCCCCGCCTACTTAGCTAGCTGACTAGCTAGCTAGCTAGCTAGCTAGGTGCTGTCTTGCCTTGGTAGCTGAACAGCTAGCTGTATAGCTAGCTGTGTTGCTAGCTGCATAGCTAGCTGTAATGCTAGCTATATAGCTAGATGTCTTGGTAGCTGGCTAGCTAGCGAGCTGCCTTGCTAGCTATCTAGCTAGCTAGCTGTCACTCTCCAGCTAGCTATCTTCCTAGCTAGCTAGCTAGCTAGACAGAGCGGGGCGTAAGGGTTGCTCGAGTTTGATGAGAGTGTGGAGTTGTTATTGTGTTTTGTTTTGTTTTGTTTTTGTTGTTTTGTTTATTTCCAGGCTCTTGAAAAACAGCGACTGCAAACACTTGTCAAAGAATTTGCCAAGGAAGCAGTCGCTGGCTTCGATGTCACCCTCGTAGACTTCACCAGAGGTTTGCTGCTGCTGCTGTTGCTGCTGCTGCTGATGCTGCTGATGTTGCTGCTGTTGCTGCTGATGTTGCTGTTGCTGATGCTGCTGCTGATGTTGCTGCTGGTGTTGTTATTGCTGCTGATGCTGCTGCTGCTGCTGCTTCCGGCGATGCTGCTTGCGCTGGCGTTGCTCGTGCTGCTGTTGTTGTTGTTGCTGCTGCTGTCAGCGCTGTGTGTTGTCTATTGAATAAGAAGCTTGAGTTTCTTCTTGTTTTATACTTTTTGCTTTATTTCTTTTGCCTCTTTTTATTTGAATGAAGTAGAGGCTATTTTATTTCGTATTCCATTTATATTTAATTTAATTTAATTTAATTTAATTTAGTTTAATTTAATTTAATTTGTTTTTTTTGTTTCTCAGATAGAACGGCATCTGCTACATTTTCTATGGATAGACATTTGCTAGTGAGGAGACATCTTCTCTTTTTCGTGTTTTGTTTGTTTGATATCTTTTTACTTCTTTGTTTATTTATTTGTTTCTCTGTTCTGTTGTTTATTCGTTTTATTGCGTTAGCGGCTTTTGTGTTTGTTTTATTGTTTTGCTTTTGTGTTTATTTGCTTGTGAATTTATTTAGTCTTTTGTTTTTTCTTTCTTTGTTTGTTTTTGTCCTTGATAAAATGTATATATATATATATGTATGTATGTATTGTAAATATGTGTGTATGTGCGTCGTACGCTTATTTATGCATATATATATATATATATATATATATATATATATATATATGCGATAATCTGTTTATTTTACGTTTGTTCAATACTGTTTTGTCTTATTTATTTATTTATTTATTTTCTTTTATTTATTTATTCTATCTTATTAATTTTATTTATTTTATTAATTTTATTGATTTTATTGATTTGATTTTTGTTTTTATTGCGTATCCCTTTGTGCATTTTGTGAATATTCATAATTTTCAGATAAAAGCAAAACTATACAGTTATATAACTACATAAATAAGTATAAAATAAATATATATATTTATATATTAACCTATTTATATATTTATTTATTTATTTTATTCTTTTTTTTGCGTATTTGTTTGTTCATAGCATATCACTTTGGAGTCGCACGACGAAGGAGAAATGCCTTCTGCAGATTTTGCTGTGCTGAGTTTGAGTGGTGCATTTAAAGCAGAAGAATATTATAAAGACAGTCATTTAAATACTTCTTCAATTGATCTCTCTCACGCTGTTGGTAAGGCTTGTCTGTATCTTTATCTTTATCTCTGTCTTTATCTCTGTCTTTGACTTTGTTGCGTTGTCTCTGTGTTTATATTTATGTTTTTGCTGTTGCTTTCTCTCTTTGTTGCTTTCTCTCTTTGTCTTTATGCTTATTTATTTATATTTTGTTGTCTTTAGGTCTCTTTGTCTCTCTGTACTTCTCCGTGTCTTTATCTCTTCCTAGCATATCACTTTGGAGTCGCACGACGAAGGAGAAATGCCTTCTGCAGATTTTGCTGTGCTGAGTTTGAGTGGTGCATTTAAAGCAGAAGAATATTATAAAGACAGTCATTTAAATACTTCTTCAATTGATCTCTCTCACGCTGTTGGTAAGGCTTGTCTGTATCTTTATCTTTATCTTTGTCTTTATCTCTGTCTTTGACTTTGTTGCGTTGTCTCTGTGTTTATATATATGTTTTTGCTGTTGCTTTCTCTCTTTGTTGCTTTGTCTCTTCGTCTTTATGTTTATTTTTTTATATTTTGTTGTCTTTAGGTCTCTTTGTCTCTCTGTACTTCTCCGTGTCTTTATCTCTTCCTCATTTATATTGTTGTCTTTGTTTATTTCTTTGTCTTTGTCTTTCTGTCTTTATTTGTTTGTCTTTCTTCCATCGTTTTTCTCTTTATCTTGTTCGTGTTTAGGGTTTAGGGTTTAGGGTTTAGGGTTTGTGTTTGTCTTTCTCTTTGTCTCTCTCTTTGTGTTTCTTCCTATTAATATTTTCTGTCTCTTTTGGGGCTTTGTTGTGTTTATTCCTTGCTTATTATTTGTTGCATGCGTTTTGCATGCATTGTTTTATCTATTATGATGTCTTATCTTTGTGTCATTGTTTAAATTTGTTTTGTTTGTCTTCATTAATGCATGCATATACATATTCATATGCATGCATACACTTGTTTATGCATGCATGCAAGCATGCATAATTTTTCGTTTCTTTTTGCATGCACTATTTGTTTTTGTCTTTTGTTTGCTGCAGTATTAACAACAAAAGAAAACAAATATCCTAAAATTGTTATTTCCTTTCATAGTAAAAACGAGAGAGACAAAGCCTACACCTGCCTTAAAATACTCAGGTATACTATCCACGCATGCATGCATTGAAAATTGTATAAATGTATGAATGCATGCATTGAAAACTGTGCATGAATGCATGCATGCATGCATGCATGCATGCTTTGAAAACACCTCGATGGACCCATGCATACATTTTGCATGCATTGAAAACGCATGCCTGTATATCTGTTGAAAGCGTATGGATGAATGCATGCATGCATGCATGCATGCATACAATATAGAGGGAAAAGCATAAAAGTTTGCATGCAGTGGAGAAGACAAGGAGAGAGAGTGCATGCGTCTGTTTTTTTGTTTTTGTTTGCTTTTTGCAGGTTGTCTGTTGACTTGGCGAATAAATGAAGGGAAAGAAATAATGCCTTTAAAAGGAATTGATGATTAAACAATAATAATAAGAATGTCTAGCAGAATCAGAATGCATGCATGCATATTCAGGTGTATAGGCACCTCATTCGTTTTATAGAGTAGCTCAATTAAAGTAGTCGGGTAAAAGCTTAGCGTTGTCTTTTTGTTTGTAATAATACTAGAATATTCTTATTATTATTTGTTATTACAATTAATAATACTATTATTATTCTCTGTTATTATGATTTTCATTTATTGTTGCTCTTAATGTTTGATAGCCCGATGTACAGATTCTCTTTGCAGTCTGTCTCCGCACTTTCTCAAGCATTTAACTTCTCTAAAAAATTATAAACACAATTTACTCTCTTTTAGGCCCAACTTAACGCAAACACATATTCACTCAGGTGTATGCATGCACACCTCGGGTGTATATTAACTAAACCCTCAGGTGTATGTACACCTCAGGTGTATGCGTACAATACACCATAGGGATATATATATATATATATAT